GTAGTAGTAAGGCCAGGAGCCCCTAGTAGCGTCCTTGCTCGTAGTAGCAAGGCCAGGAGCCCCTAGTAGCGTCCTTGCTCGTAGTAGTAAGGCGAGGAGCCCCTAGTAGCGTCCTTGCTCGTAGTAGTAAGGCGAGGAGCCCGTAGTAGCGTCCTTGCTCCTAGTAGTAAGGCCACGAGCCCCTGGTAGCGTCCTTGCTCCTAGTAGTAAGGCCAGGAGCCCCTAGTAGCGTCCTTGCTCCTAGTAGTAAGGCCAGGAGCCCCTAGTAGCATCCTTGCTCCTAGAAGCAAACTGAATTAGACCTTTCTTCCTTTTCTTTGTTCTTTGTTTCTATTAGTGAGGGCATCCAACCTATTACTAGCGATGGCCTCCAAGCTTCCTGTCCTTTCGCCATCTTTCGCCCTGATGACTTGTGGCGATGTTTCAGCTAATCCACAAACCCAAAGCACCACACCAAGGTGCCGCTTTGTCTAACTAGCCCCAGATGGTCACCCCCCAAAAAAAGGGCTTCTACGGCTTCTACATGCTTCTGCTAAATTCAGAATTTGTTCACATCTCACCGTTTCCCAGCCTCGATCTTGAAGCGGGACGCTCGGGACGCTCCCGGCTCCGGCTCCGCCGATCGCGGGGACTGGGCCGTCGATCGCGGCTGTCCCGGCGGTCCCGGCGGTCGCGGCTGTCCCGGCGCCGTGGAGGGCTGCGGCCTCAGCAGATCCCTCCCCTAGTGGCTCAAGCGAGTTCAGTATCTTTAGTAGCGATGCCAGGAGCCACTAGTAGCGTCCTTGTTAGTTGAAGCGAGTTCAGTTTGGTTTAGTCATCAGTCATGACTAGTTTGTCTTTGGGGTGTTAATGCCGAAAACAAGGTGCTTCCAATTTTGACACTACGAACAGGAACTGAGTTCCACATAGTTCCACCCAGGAACTACGATGTAGAGACACTTCAGAGCTGAGTCCCCCCAACGTCGATCGGAACGGGACCTGAGCTCAAATTGAACTAGGTGTCCGTTCAATTGAACAGGTGTCCGTTCTGCTTTCATCATCAGGTTGTCGAAACCCTACTTGATACTTGCCATGCCAAAGGACTATGCATACACATTGCTTGCGGCTCATCTGGTTATTTGTTGCTTTGGCTGGGCTGGTGCATCACTTGGCTATCTTCACAGAAGGGATGCATAGCGGCTCTTCGTTGGGATCATCTGTGGTGCATATATATATATATATATCAATTCTCTTGCGTCACCGACCCCCGGGAACGAAGCACGGCTTACAAATACAAAAATACGTGCCAGTCAACTGTGTCGTTGCACTCTATTCTCATCCATGTCATGTCCATGTTTAACCTTGCCCGATGTGCATCCAGGAACTCTTCAACAAGAAGAACAAGGACAAAATCAACAAGAACATTAAATCATCATCGACGACGACGATGACGACGAGGACCGCGATGACAATACCAACAACGACAACGATGCCAGCAACAGCGCCAATAACAACAAAGCAGCAGCAACCAGGAGCAGCAGCAGCAGCAGCAGCAGCCGCCAGCAGTAGCAGCAGCAACCACAACCCATGATGTGGCCTTCGTCTTGAGGAACGTGACCGCACCCTGCCAGATGGGCGCTGCTCGTCATTGGGCAGGCGCCCAAAACGATAGATATATTATGATATATTTAGTATGAACATCCTGTATGCTGTTTGCGACCCATGCCCTCAGATTCACCTGTCCTGCCGTTCCTTATGATGCCATCCCAACAACGAACTTCCAAATGCCCTACTTGGACCGTTTCCAATGTCCCAAGGTCTCACCTATTTCAAAAGCAATTGAGTCATGTTGAGTCCATACATACACCGCATCTGCCTTCTTGGTCTGGACTCTGAGGAGGAGGGCATGCTGATCGAAATAGCAGGGATTGCGTCTCCAGAAATGGCTCATGTCCAGAATTGGCTCAGTTCCTAGATCAGAGCATGGCTGGTGTCAGTATTGATAAACCTCCTTGTCCGGCCAATATCAACGAAAGGAATAAGAGTGGATACGTTTCACATCGTTTCGCCAATATTGCCAGCAGCTTGCTTAATGTAAGGAGTGGTGAGCAATAGTTACGGACCAATTCGTTGTCAAAATGACCCACGTTGAACATCTTTGAGCCCAACTAGCTGGGGTATTAAACAAATTTAAACCACATAAACCATTGGGACTGGAGGGGCCCTTTAGGCTTCAGGTGGCCAATGACCTAGCATTCGAGATCTTTTGATGTATACTTCCCTATGCATGATCTTTTATCAGAGCAGTGGCTGCGAGGGGCGGGTCGCGCAAGGGCTGCCGACGCGCATCCAGTGAAGTCGGACGAAGTGGGGACGAAGGTGGTGAGTGAAGACAGAGAGTTTCGCACATAGCGCTGTCGCATCAAAAGGACTCTCAGAGAGTTTCGGATTCAGATGTGATAGTCCAACATGGATAACTATTGATGCAAACATATGCAAACATTAGTGGAACTGCTTGGAGGAAACAGGGGCAAGGGTAGCACCTTCTCGGATAATTGGTAGCTAGCGGGGCACTCTGCTAATTACAGTAATTAGCCAACCGCTAACCCAAGCCTATGTGGTATGACCGCGTGACTCTGGAGTATTCTCACCCCTCTCATCCGTCGTTCTGTGCAACTAAGTATCAACTAAGATGTAGCATTCAAGCTTCAAAAGTGTTTGATCACCGACAGTTGCACAACGAGAGACCCGCGCAGAACTCGTGGAAATGGTTTGGCCCAGAGTTGTGCGACCCTGGAACTCTTCAGCCAAGGCGTGCAGCACCTTTTTGGGGGAACTTGCCAAGGCCTCAGCGCTGGCCTAAGCCTCAGCGCTGGCAGCGCAGGTGCCCAGAGCCCTTCAAACCCACTTCACATCTTTTGGGAGGGCCACCCACTACTATGTAGCGCCAGGAGCCCCTAGTAGCTTCTTGTTACTAGTAGTAAGAGTGCTCCTGGTAGCGATGCCAGGAGCCCCTATTAATAAGCACTCACCAGTTAAAAGAAACACAACGTCCGAAGCCCTAAATTCGGCTTATATTTTTTTTAAATTACCGCCCTTTCAAGCCGCTACTAAACTACCAACATGGTCGATTTTGGGGGTAGTTTTCTTTATTAGGTCCAACTCGCTCGTGACACGCCGCGTTTACACCAGCAGGTTTTCCTTCCTCCAATGGCACGGACTCACGCAAACGCACTTGCCACCGAGGTCGTGCAAAACCGCATGGCACAGCGACATCACCTTTCGAAAGCTTTGGTTAGTCTAATGAAGAATCAGTATTCTAATAAATGTGTTTGTAGGGGAAAAGGAAGACCCTTCGATCTGGAGGTTTTTTGAATTTTGATACGAGTTTGATAAAGGATTTTATATAGAGCTTTTCTGGATGACTTTTTGGTTTTGAAGCTCTTCCCAGGTGACCCTATTTTGGACCCCCCCGACTTCAGGGACCCCCAATGAGAAAAAATGCGACCGAGTTTCTCTTATTAGGGGGGGGAGGGGTTCCAAAATAGCAAATGGCAGCTAGCAAATGTTTGATGCTCTATTCCCGAGACCTTACACCTCCAGAAGTGCCATAAACTTGGATTCCCCACTTGGCCCTGCATGCGCTGAAGCTTGCGCCTTGAATTTGAAACACGGAACAAGTCAGGTCCCTCAACATGTGCTGTATGGGCTGAAGGTCTGCTGCTAAAGACAGCCAACAAATGCCGACAATGTGGGCTTGTAGTGCTTGTGCGGGATCTTCCCAAGGTTCGGACTCACCTACATCGACCTCCACCTTTAAGCCGAGTTCCTGAAGCTGTCACTTCTGTCGGCAGGTTGGTGCTGAATGGTTCTGGAGTGTCTACACAGCTTCTATCTCTGGAGAGCCTGCAACCTCGTCTGCCTCACAAGCCCAACAAATCCCAAACGCAGGTCCTTTGCGGATGCGATGGCCTTCTGCATCTCCTCGCCATGATCAACTGGTTGACGAGAGAATTTACCAACGAACCTTCAAATGTCGGATTCAGTGCACGTCCATCAACCTTCAACGAAGCACCCCTTCAACAAACCAGCTCTCCTCGACCGAGGTTGCATTCCGCAGCTGGTCCTCAGCAAAAATGTTCAACCCAGTTGATGTACCCATAACCTGCAAGCCAGGCCTGTTGAGAAAGTACGCGGTGTTTGGTATATCGACCCAATAGTCTTCTGTCTCCGAATAGGAAAAGGGTGCTGGAGTGAGTACATGCTGCGCCAGTAGCCATAAGTCAAGGCAAGTGGCCAAGTGCTTGGTGAGTTTCTTGCGTCTGACCTTCTCTACTAGTAACAAAGGGCATCGCTACCAGGAGCAAGGACGCTACTAGGGGCTCCTGGCCGTACTACTAGGAACAAGAAGCTACTAGGAGCAAAGGGCATCGCTACTAGGAGCAAGAACGCTACTAGGGGCTCCTGGCCGTACTACTAGGAGCAAGAAGCTACTAGGAGCAAAGGGCATCGCTGCTAGGAGCAAGAACGCTACTCTAAGTGCCCGAGCCCGGGTCTTCTGCTCTAGGTCTTGCCGCTCACGGCGCGCCTTGGCTTCTGAGGTCTCCTGGAGCAGCACACCCCCAGTGAACAAAAGGAGCGGCCAAACCCAATGGCCTAAAGGGGAACCAGCAAAGGGAAAAGGGATGAAAAGAGTAGAGCCACATAACTAATTACAAGTATTTGAGGATCACTAGTTGGGAAGGAGTGGGACCTATTCCAAACTGGAAAGCCATCCACACATGGCATATTGATATCTCCCACTCGTCTGATCATCTGCTTCCTTGACCCAATTTCCTTGAAAGCATTCATCCAGCATCGTTCAAGTGGTGTCGCTAAACATTAATTTGACACAGCAGCGAATGTCCGACTGGACTTCCCCCAGTTGCTTTCTTTCCCCCAAGTTCAAAAAGAATCTCGCAACCTGCTCACGGTCAAACTCTCTTCTCTTCCAACCCGCCCGTCTCGTCTTCGCCGTGTCCACTCCTGAGGTGGAGGAGGCCTTGGAGGCAAGTCATTCCAGGCTCGGCTCGCACCTGACGGAGCCACATCGGGTCGGAGACAGTCGAGGAAGCCACGGAAAGCAGCTTTGACCTATGCCGGCTGGAGATGGCTGGAGTGGGTTGAAAAAGGGTGATTGTTCCAATTTCTTCAATTCTGGCAGGGGGTTGCCAATGCACAAGGAATGGCAAGTCGACGTGACTTGTGGAACATACATGTATGGCATCAGCTGATGGCAGAACAATTACAGTAAGTAAGACTGGGGAAAGGAAGGAAAAGCACCCCTCAGAACTTGATCTTGTGCTGTGTGCTAGTTCCAGGCTCAGTCCAGCTGTATGTCTTTGATCATTGAACTTGCATCCGACTTTCCCGGAGTCCACTCCGCCTCTACCGCCACGATCTGGCAAGTGTCAGGGCACGTATAAGAGAATCTATTGCAAAAAGGTTGATGCACCCGATTAACAACAGGAACGTGAATTATCGGGAATATTTGGAATGAATTAGAAATGATTGGAAAACAACTCTGTATGATACCTCCGGTTTGGTCTTAACATCGCCATTTTCCTAAGGTGTCTATGTTCAGATTAGTATAAAGTGTGCAAAGGCCCCCCACACCTAGAAGTCTGCAAATTCTGTCTTCCATCCTTGCCCTTCGCTCCGCCATCATTCATCCCTGAGTCATCCTTCTATTGAAATGCGTTGAAACATGCCAGGCAATCTGCCACTCCGATGGTCGGCATCAGCTTCATGGCCTTCTCCGTTGACAGCTACAAGCAAGACGCGCGACTCACAACCAGCTAAAACCTGAACCAACATTGGCCCGCTGGGACTTTTCTGAGAATGGTTTCCTGATGTGACAACAGCCGATAGTTTGTGGCTTGCTGGGTTGACCAAGCCTTTAAAGCCCTTTCCTCTTGAAAATCCATTCTTTCCTTTCTCTTCTCCTGATGCAGTTGGTCAAAGGAGGCTGGCGATGTCCGCAGCACGTGATGAAAGCAAAGTGGTGGCGTTGTCCCCCTAATATCACCTCTCGAGCAATCCGGGAAAAGAACAAAAGTTGTTCAGACGGGTCAGTTGCATACTACGGAAAATGTGGGAAAATTATATAAGAGCAATGGGTATTAGTCATATCTTGGACAACGAATGGCATCCGCACGCCTTTGTAGCCTTTTCCTTGGTTCTCGTGCCAGCCTTGACATGCCTTGACATGCCTCTACCGTGTTGTGCCTGTGAGGGCTCTAGGGTCGCCAATGCTTTCGAGCAAAAACAGATGATGAAGGCCACATCAGAACATGAAGGAGGCAACAGCGGCTCTTTTACAGTAATGGCAATGGCCTCCAACCTAATAGCAATGGCCTCCAACCTAAGGTCTATGTAGATCCGAAGTGCAACGTTTCTGGGTCGCCCACCACCTTTGCCCAAATCGCGTCGGCCTAGGGAGATTATATAGGCGGATGGCGGATGGGGCCAATGGACAAACAGTGAATATCTTAATAAGTGTATATATATATATATAGTAAGCACATCAAGGTTTCCTCAGCCTCCATCTCGGTATTCCAACTACAAGACTGGCCATGCAAAAGCACTCAAACTTAGACAACCCAGATAGAGCAACTAGATGTACAATAATGTTACCAACTAAAACATCCAACAAGGAACACACCAGTTATTTCGACCGTGACTCATGAGGCACCGTCATCAAGAGGTAATCCAGTCAAAAAGTGGCACAACTGCAACTCCAAAGTACAACCATTGTGTAGCACAACCAAAGGGGCTGGTGTCAGGGGTAGTTGGGCCCGCTGGGCGAAGCAAACCAGCTGGGCGGTGGCCACGTGGAAAGCTGCCCGACCGCGGAAAAGCCATTGATCCACTCAAGGCGAACCACGTTCTTCAGGTCTTTGCTTCGATCCTTCCAATCGGATCCAGTAGGGG